TCTGTAGATTTACAGCCTTGGAAACTCTACGGGGCAGTTCTACTCTGTCCTATAGGGTCGCTATGAGTCGGAATCGACTCGACGGTAGCAGGTTTTTATATAAGCACTGAGAGCACAATCACCTCTATCAACGTTTCATAAATAAATGTTGGGAAAATTAGGTACAGGGCCTTGGAAGGTGCCCTGTGCAAGTGAGAGGTCCTGAAGATTAAGCTTTGTTTCCAGTAAATTCACCTCTGCTTTTGGATCTGCTCAAAGTGTGCATAGTTAATCTACAGGGGAGAATTTTCACGGTAACTCCTACAAGTAAAGAGAACAAGGGAATTTAAAGACGAAAACAGCAGTACCTGATAAGCTCTAGAAAAGAATCACGTTAAATGTTCAACCTGTGTTTATTCTTCTTTGTTTTTTTATTTATAGAAAAAACATGTTCTAGGTTAAAAAAAAGAAACTAAGGATTAGTAAAAGATTTTTAAAAAGAATAGAAATCAGTCATTTTGCTTCCCAGAGATGACTACCAGAATATAAGCTCCAAATCTTTTTTTTTTTTTTAACTGTTGTCTTCTAAGTAATTGGAAGAGTGCCCAGTACATTTGCTATTGAATGACTGGGATGAGCTCTAGGATAAAACATAACATATGAAGGTAGGGGTTAGTGCATCTTAGACAAAGCATACACCATAATCAAAGGTGCAAGAAATTAAGATCAAATGGGCCAAGTGCAGGGCACATGGGTCTGAGTCTGGTGGGGATTAAAAACAGGCAGCTCCTAAGCCCATACATTTTGTTTGTCCTACAAAGCACTAAAATAATTTTTTAACAATCTGCCAGCCTTTAACATATTTAGAATTCACAGGAAAACATGCATTTCCAGCTTTTTTTTTTTTTTCCTGACAAAATGGAAAGCCCTGGAAACACTGGATCACATTCCTACATGATAAAAATAGGCTGGAGCTGAGCGAAGGCTGCCCTTAACAAAGCTCATGTGTTCACTGAAGTCCCCTCCAGGCCCAACTCACTCACTTATGTTCCCTGTTAGACCTTAAAAGCATTAGAGTTTGCAGTCTCTGGTAGCACTCTGGGACCTCAGGCTGGAAAATCAGGTTGGGGTCTGAGAGACAAGGGCTTGGGTATCCAAATGGGGGGTTTGTGCTTCATTCATTTGGCAAGAGGAATGACTGAACATTTGCACAGTGTCTAAGTTTCTTAGTACTGCTATAACAGAAATACCACAAGTGAGTGGCTTTAACGAATAGAAATTTGTTTTCTCACAGTTTAGGAGACTAGAAGTCTGAGTTCTGGGCACTGGTTCTAGGGAAAGGCACTCTGTCCACCCTAGGGGAAAATCCTCGTCTCTTTCAGCTTCTCTTCCTTGGTTCCTTGGTGATCTCCACGTAGCATCAATCTTTCCCCATTTGTGCTTGCCTGCTTCTGTGCCTAATCTACTCATTTTAAATCTCAAAAGTGATTGGTTTAAGACACACCCTACCTAGCCTCATTAAGATAACAAAGAAAACTCTATTACCAAATGGGATTATATCCACAGGTATAGGGGTTAGGATTTACAACACATATTTGGGGGGGACACAATTCAATCCATAACACTCAGTTACTATTGTTGTGTAACAAACCATCCCTAAAACATAATGGCTAAAGACAACAATTATTCATTTAGTTCATGGTTTTATGGATGGTTCAATTGGACTAGGCTCATTTGAATGATTCTTCTGGTCTTGACTGGGTTCACTCATGTGACTGCAGTTAGTTGCTGAGTCAGCTGCCAGGTTGGCTGGCCTGGTGGGACCTCAGCTGGAATGACTTGTTCATGCCTGGGTAGGCTCCTGAGAGAGGGAGTGGAAGTTTGTAAGGTCTCTTGAAGCATTGGCTCGGAACCAGCACACTGGCACTTTTTCCACATTCTGTTGGCCAAAGCAAGGCACGATGCCAGCCCTGATTCAAATGGTGGGGAAATAGACTCCACCTCTTGATGGGAGGAGTTGTGAAGTCATATTGCTAAGAGGTGTGGATATGGAGAGAGAGAGTTTTGCAAACCATCTACCACAGTTACCATCAGAGGTACATTTTTGAAAATATCACTTGAAGGGGAAGTGCTGGATTTGTTTTCTGCTAGTAGCGGGGAAGTGCTGCCTTCCTGCAGCCTGAATAACTGGATGCAAAAGCAGACAAAAGAGAGATGTCTGACTCGTGCCTCTCTCAGTTTCTTGTTCAAGGACTGCTGGTTTAGGTTTCAGTTCACTCCTCATCAAAGGCAGATAGCTTCGTTAAGATTTCTGTGAATGAATGAACAGGAAGTTAGGCAAGAGCAGAGAGCTAAGAGTCAAGCTAGAAACACAAAGAACTCCCTATTGTGTAGAAACTGCATTTCCCCTGGTCTGGCTGTTGCCTAAAATTCCACCACCTGCCTTTAGGATATGAAGTTCCCCTCTCACTTGGTCAACCTTCAAAATACAATACCTGGCGGTAGAGGTAAACCCACATCTTAGTGTGAGTGAGTCTTTGGTACCAGATTCTCTAATACCCAGAGGACTCTAGGCTATAAGGCAGCCTGGAAGATGGAAGAAGGAGACAAAGCAGAGTCTGAAGGAGAAGGCACTGGATAAAACACTGTCATCATCTTGTCTGTCCTGAAGGCTAATTCTTCAGGAAGTGCTGTTCAGCCCATTCTTCTGCTTTGCAGTAGCGAAGAGAAAGTTTCAATTAGAAGACAGACCATGATTTGGATTTTTCACTTGCAAAGGTAGGGATGGGGTTGTCTGTTAGAATGTTTCCAACAGGCTACCTGTGAGAATGCCTTGAAGAACAGACCTCGGGCCAGAGACTTCTGTAAGTAGTGAGGACATGCTTGGGGAACTGCCTCAAAAGGCTGAACACTTGTTTCTTTAGTTCCTCTCTCCAGGCAACTCATCCTTCAATAATCAGTTTGCTCTACACCCAAGTGTATAACTCGAGAAACTCTTACACGTGTGTCCCAAGAGACATGCACAAGAATATTTAAAGGAGCATGGTTCCTAAGAGTAAAGTACTGGAGCAACCAAAATGTCCATCAACGGTAGAATGAATCTATAATGGACTACTATAAACCCATTGCCCTCGAGTCGATTCCGACTCATAGCGACCCTATAGGACAGAGTAGAACCGCCCCATAGAGTTTCCAAGGAGCGCCTGATGGATTCGAACCGCCGACCCTTTTGTTAGCAGCCATAGCTCTCAACCACCACGCCACCAGCGTTTCCAATGGACTACAATACAGTGGTGAAAATGAATGAGATGAAGCTACCACATCAACGTGGATGAATTTCGAATCATAATGTTGAGCAAATGAAGCAAGTCATGGAAGAATACAGTATATCATTTATACAAATTTCCTATACATAGGAAACCAAATAATATTGTATACATAGGTGGTAAAACTATAAGTAACTTTTTGCCACAAAAGTTAAAATAGTGGTTACCTCTGGGAGGAATGTGAAAAGCAAGGGACTTGTTAGTGGTTTCTGAGTTAGTGGCAAAGTTCTATTCCTTAACCAAGGGGTGGACGTGTGATGTTCTTTTATTATGATTTTTAAAAACTGTACATGTATATTTTATACACTGCTGTAGTATGATAGGAACCCTGGTAGTGCAGTGGTTAAGAGCTATAGCTGCTAACCAAAAGGTTAGCAGTTCAGATCCACCAGCCACTCCTTGAAAACCCTAAGGGGCAGTTCTACCCTGTCCCAGAGGGTCACTATGCATTGGAATCCACTCGATGGTAAGGGGTTTTGGTTTGGTATTATGATACATATCACAATAAAGATAAGAAAAACATTTTGTGTCTTTGAAATCTGCAGCAACTTCAGTGGAAACATTTCTCCAATCCAAGGATGTTGCATTCAAACCATTCTCTCTTCTTTCATGTTCTTTGGAAATTCTAGGAGATTTGGATCTAGAGTGAGAGGGGGGATACTCCCAGGGAGGGAGATGGTACAAGGAAGCTACGGAGAAGTAACTTATGGTGAAATAAAAGATTGAGTCAAAGAAATTATCCCAACGTGTTGAAAAAAGAGAGAGTGAAAGAAAGGGAGAGGGAGGGAAGGAGAGAAGAAAGGAAGGAAGGAAGGGAGGGAGTGCAAGGGAAGGGAAGGAGGGAGACAGAGAAGGAAGAAAGGAGAAAAGGAAGGAAGGAAACAAGCTAGAGAAAAGTAATCTCCCTTCCCAGCTTGCTTTGGACTAAGCAATGCCCTTAGAGCAGGGTTTCTCAGCCCCTTCCCTATTGACATTGAGGGCCAGATAATTCTTTGTTGTAGGGGGCTGTCTTGTGCATTGTAGAATGTTCAGCAGCATTTCTGGCCTCTACCCAATTATCATGGGCTGAATTATGTTCCCCAAAAAATGTGTGTATTAATTTGGCTGGGCCATGATTCCCAGTATTGTGTGGTTGTCCTCCATTTTGTGATTGTAATTTTATGTTAAAGAGGATTAGGGTGGGATTGTAACACCCTTACCCAAGTCACATCCCTGATCCTGTATAAAGGGAGTTTCCCTGGGGCGTGGCCTGCACCATCTTTTATCTCTCAAGAGATACTAAGGACAGGGAAGCAAGCAGAGAGTTGGGGACCTCATAACACCAAGAAAGCAGTGCCGGGAGCAGAGCACATCCTTTGGACCAGGGGTCCCTGCGCCGAGAAGCTCCTAGTCCGAGGAACACTGATGAGGAGGCCAACGGAGAGAGAAAGCCTTCCCCTGGAGCTGATGCCCTGAATTTGGACTTTTAGCCTACTTTACTGTGAGGAAGAAAATTTCTCTTTGTTAAAGCCATCCACTTGTGGTATTTCTATTATAGCAGCACTAGATGCCTAAGACACCAACAGACACATCGATTCCCCGTGCCACCCAGCTATAACAACCAAAAATATCTTCAGACATTGCCAAGTGTTACCCGGGGGCAAAATCACTATTGGGTGTGAACCACCATATTAGAGCTTGTAAAAAGGAAATCTTTCACAAATGTGAAGGAACGTGCGTGGCTCTTGCTCTTTGGAGCTGGAATATGGAACGACCAGAAAAAGCCCTGACATCAACAAGGGGCCGCTCGGAGGGCTCATAGGCCCGGCACCCATCAATGATCTCCTGCAACTCTGGAGGGCAGTCTTCACCCAGTGGCTCCTGGTACCCATCTGATTCTGCCAGCTCACGGATCCTCCTAGAATCACAGCCTAGCATGGAAACAATAGGATGGAAGATTTAAAAACCGGCTCTGGCACTCACACATCTCTCTGGATGCTGATGGCTAGCATCAGAACTAGGGACTTTCAGTATCGAAAAAACTACAGAGCTTCCAATAACTCCACTGGCCAGCCCAGGCAGTGCCCACATTGGAGAACAAAGCTCCTAGAAAGCACTGATGGGGAATTGCTCATCCACTGAAAGGGGTCCCAACTCCAGCCAGCACCATCTGACCCAGCCTTCACACTCATCACCTTTAAATAGGATCTTCCCAGTGGCGATTTCCCAGAGGACGATTCCAAAGCTGAAAGAAAACCAGGGAACTAAATAATCATAACAAGTTTTCCTTTTTCCACACCCCTCTAGAATTCTCTGATTATTACCCAATTCGTTCAACAGAGTTAAAATGGTCCTCGGAGGTGGAGTTAGACTTGAGCTTTCATGTCCTTTTCATCTGCAGTAGAATCCAAATGAGAACATGAGCATACCTGTATATTTCAGCTTTTATGTCATATTTATGATACACATTTTTCAGTCCCTGGGGTGAAACGTATGCTGTAGAATTGACTTTCTCTGCTCTTCTTTCCTTAACTTTCCTGCTGATGGATGTTTGTGTTTTGCTCAACTCAAATCCTGCAAGCTAGATATGGAGAGGTGACTTAGAAACAGGAAGATATCGGGTAGGGGAGGGGGGTGGTTGGTGCTACACATGATTATCAGGGAATGGTGTTTTACCATAGGAATTTATTCCCAGTGGTGTTTTTTTTCTGTGTAGCTGCTCTATTGACTGATATTATGTGTTCAACTTAGTATAGTGCAATGACCAAGAGCAGCACAAAGAAATTTCTATACAGGAATGATGGCTGTTGTATGAATGAGCCAAAGATGGCATCTGTATTTCAGCCTCAGGTTGGTTATTTCTTCATAACAGGCTGATGTCTGCTACTTCAAAAAGCCTGCTGCACCAAACTCAAATTTTTATGTATCCAGTTGTTTTAAAAATAGCCTAAGTAAGCAGATTTTTAACCATTTAGAGCCTGCCTGTTTTGCATACCTTGTAAAGATGCACCCAATATCTGCCAGACAGAGATAAAATAAACCCTGTAGTTACAAAGACCCCAAGCCGCTGCCCTTCAGAGCACTCTGACCCAAAGACTCCACCTTGCTGCTGAGGAATGCTTTGCTTCCCCTCTCCCCTGGGGGTTCCATTGCCTTCTTCCCCTTCTGGTGACTCCCTGTGCCACTTGCCTTCGGAGGGTCTCCTGCTGGAGGGGACTGACCCCTCCCCATATTCAGCAACTGTCAATGCACTGGCCCTAGTAAATACTGCCATTTTGTAGTCATATCTTTTTCCTTGATCAGCCCCCAAATCCCTCAAACTCACTAAATGGCAATGATTACTTGAGCTAGTGGTTTAAGCACTTGTAAGACTTGGTGAGTCATAGTTGTTGCTAGTATTATTATGGTAGACCCAAAGCTTTCTCAGTAGAGTACTTAACTCCACTTAGTGAGGGTGGAGAGGATAGACGGTGCCACCACATGGCTTGCTTTCTCTCAAAAGCAGATTAAAAAATGACATGGGGTATCCACTCAGTCCTATCTGATGCTATAGAGTGGCTAGCTTGTTTCTTTGGATTTTATGTGACAACTGTGAGTTATCCCTACTGACCTATTTGCTGTGATCATGCATAGACAATGCAATGTTCTAAAAGGAGCCATAGCACCATTGAGGAGCCCTGGTGGCGCACTGGTTAAACGCTTGCCTGCTAACCGGGAGGTCACTGGTTTGAACCCACCAGCCGCTCTGTGGCAGAAAGATGTGGCAGTCTGCTTCCATTAGGATTACAGCCTTGGAAACCCTATGGGGCAGATCTACTCTGTCCTATAGGGTCACTATGAGTCGGAATTGACTCAATGGCACAGTTTTTTTGTTTTTGTTTTGTTTTGTTTGTGTTATCCTTGCTCCATGCACATCTGTCATTAGTGCCTTCAGTGTGTAGAGAGCTGCCAGCCCCCAGCTCAGCCAGATACCCAGATCTAGGGGCAAGGTCAGGAAAAGGATAAGACACTTTGGTGTCTCTTCCCCTTTCCTTTCTTCTTTCCTTCCATTCATTCATTTACATGTTTACTGAACACTGCATCTTTGACATCCAGCACTGTGCTAGATACCAGGGATAAAAGGTTGAATAGGACATGATACAGTCAGGTAGGATGAAAGTCATGCTAGCGATGGAGACAGAGTGTTTGGGGAACACCTACATCACCATTAAGAGTCCCTGGGGGTGCAAACAATTAACGCACTCAGCCGCTAACTGAAAGGTTAGAAGTTCGAATCCACCCAGAGGTGCCTCGGAAGAAAGACTTGGCAATCTACTTCCAAAAAATCAGCCATTGAAAACTCTAGGGAGCACAGTTCTACTCTGACACACATGAAGTTGCCATGAGTTGGAATCAACTCTATGCCAACTGGTCATATCACTACTGGCATAGAAGAAAGTCATCCAAAAGGCAGAAAAGACCTGCCTTCTATATTTGAGCACCATCCCTGACACTCAGTGCTGGAAGAAAGAAAACCAGCTATGGATGACAAAACACTCTTTCAGCATCTGGGAGTTATGGATATAGAGTTAACAAAAAACCCTTTCCTCTTCTGTATGAAATTCTGACCTTTAGTTAACTGTTTAGCTATGTTCCCACGGAAACATGATAAAAGTAGACTGTCACCTAAATAACAACGCTAATGATAACAATGACCCCTGACTGGCAAATTGCTTCTGGATGGGAGAGGTTTGGGGACCTATTCAAAATACCTGATAGGGATGCTGTACTTTGCAGTGACTCTTATAACTGGCATGTCTGTCCCTTGCAGGTACACTGGAAGGTATGCCTCTAGAGTTGTTAAAACAGATATTGACTCCTGAGGGTCATGAGGTTTCTAGGCCAGGATGTCCCTACACCCATGTGATAGAAGTCTTTTACTCGTGCACCCGGGGAAAGGGCAAAGAGAATATCTCCTGGACGACTGTGTGCACAGCTGTGAGGACTCCCACTGGAGAGGAGGGTTTGACATGACCCTGTTGGCAAGCTGTGCTTCCTGCCTGAATTATAAGCTTCTAAGTGACTCTGACAGCCAAGCATGGCCTATGGGAGTCCTGTGAGTCTGAATGTTTAGGTGGACCTAAGGAGATCCCCTGGTGGGTGTTGCAGGGACAGAGGAGTGATATCCAGGCATCTAAGGGAATGGACTCTTAGCCCATCCCTTCTAGGTGGGCAGTGAGGGAAGGTGGGCACCAGAACAGGAGGCCAGGATTGAGTCTGTCCTATGATGTGACTCCTCTCCCTATACAGGCAGGGGAAGAGTTGCATTCGGTTTTAAAATTAAGGCAGAGAAACAAGCAGGTAGAGGCTTTCTGGGACACCGGTGTGTCTCTCCCTACACCAAACAGTCACACAGGTTTAGCTCAAGAGACCCCTGGAAGGCCCTGCTCACCTTCACATGGTAGCCCTCAGCAACCAGGAAGCTTGTGCTGCTGATGTTTCTGTGGAGTTCAGGTTCTTCAGAATGGTGCAGCCTGATATAATCAAAGGCAGAGAGATTAATGACCTTTGTGCAGGTACTCTTAGGGGGCTTCACAGTCACTACCAGGATAATGAGGCTAGCCAGTACCATGCCTTCCTCATAGATAGCTAGCCATGGATAGCTGGGAAAAGTGGGGCGCAGAGGCAAGATCTGATAATTGTGTGCAATGAGTATACAACAGAGCTAAGATGCAACTCAAAGTGTCCATTGAACAAGCGGGCAAAAATCTTTGTGGAGTGTGTGTGATCTGGTCCCCAGCGGTGACTTCAGGCAGGGCGGGATGAAAGTGTCTCTGCAGTGGTCAGCCTGGAAAATGCTGGGCAGACCAAAGTGCTCAGAGGCATGGCTGGATGGCTGGACCATGCCTAGGGCCCTTCTGGTTGAAACAGAATGTGAACCTGGGGTTCCTACCAATTTGCAGCCAAGTACTTTGGATTAATGGAGCCCTGGGTCCCAATTTGTTGTATAGAGTGTGCCTTAGGCAGGTTCTCCCAGACACAGACCATGAGCCAAGGATTTTGGTACAAGTGATTTACTAAGAAAGTGCTCTGAGGAGAAACCAGTGAAGAAGTGGAGGACGCAGAATAGGTAAAAAGAAACCAAGCAGAGTGTGATCTCTGGGGAAGTCTCAGCCTCAGCCTGATCCCAGGGGAACTCTGGAGCATAATTCCACCTAAGGGTTTGTCCTGCTCGAGGCAAAGGAGCTGGACTTTTGTACTCACATCAGTCAGTCAATGGCTATGGCTATGGACTGCATGGGGGAGAGGAAAGGACATTCCTGGGTACTTCAGCTCTCTGTTTAAAGGCAAGGAGCTCCAGTGCCCATGGATAATCATCTGGAGATTGCAGCTGTGAGCTGTTATCAGCAAAGCATGCAGAGTGGGACATGGGTACATAAAACTGTACCCAGGGTCAGAGGCCATCTGGATGGGCACCAACAACGTCCCCTACAGCCTCCAAAATTACTTCTCATAAAACCCGCTAGTTAAGGGGAGTCAAGCAGAAATAAACGTTATAGTTTCAAATAAACAGCTAAGGCAGTATTTCTAAAAGTATGGATGCTATGTTATGCAAGATTACACAATAAGAAAATTACCTTTCAATTTATTTCCAATATCTCTGGTTACATTACAGAGAAAGTCTCCGTTTGGCTCAGGCGTCTTTAACAACCCTCTAAATCTTCTAATACCCTCTTCGTAGAAAAAGAATGTGGGTTACAGCATCACCCAGCTAGAATTTAATAATGTTTTGTTTTCATTTGTGGTCACCTAGCAGTGGCTCAGCTGCTAATCGAAAGGTCGGTGGTTTGAACTTATCAGCCACTCCGCTGGAGAAAAAACCTGGCAATCTGCTCCTGTAAAGATTACAGCCTCAGAAACTCTATGGGGCAGTTCTACTCTGTTCTATATGGCCACTATGAGTTGGAATCTACTCGACAGCACATAACAACAACAATGAACTTGTGGCAAGTGATACTGATTTTCAATTTATGGCTGTAATAGAAAGTGTTCTTCTCCTTTACTTTACTGAGGTAAAAAATGTGCGTCAACTTAAAGAAAAACACTAAGTAATTAATCCCACTGGTATTGTGGATATGGTAAGAAGATGGCCTGTGAATGAGTGACCTTTGGGGACCTTTGAATCAAAGGAACCATAAATTCTGCATGTGAGAGTAGGTAGTGTTGTTGCCAAATAAAGTACAGGACACTCAGTTAAATTTGAATTTCAGATAAACAATGAAAAGAAAATTTAAGTATGTCCCAAAATTGCATGGGACATACTTATTTATACTAAAAATTATTTACTGTTTATCTGAAATTCAGTAGACCTGAAATTTAGTATAATAGTGTCCCACGTAATATTTGGGACATACTTATACTAAAAATTATTCATTGTTTATATGAAATTCAAGTTTAACTGGGTATCTTATATTTTCATTTGCTAAATCTGGCCACCCTACAAGTAGAGCCTGTCCAACTCCATGAGAACAGCCTAGACATTAAATTCAACCCTTAATTCTGTGAGTTGGTGCTCAGTGGGTTAAGAATCTTTTTCCTTTCCGATCTAAGGTCCTATATTCAGAGTAAAAAGTAAAACAGCTTATGGAAGGAGAGATGAACTGGGACTTCCTGGCCTGTTCGCCCATCATCTCTGGGGTTATCAGTAGGGTAGACAGTCTCATCCAGCTCTTCTAGGCGCCCTTTCACCCCATCTGGCACCTGTACAAGCCTCGGGCTGCCCCAGGGATAGGAAGATGCACACACCGAATTCCAAGTTCTGTTCCTTATCTAGTAGTTCCCTCAGGGTCCCAAATTCACAGTGCTCCATGATGATGCAGAATTGAGCAGGATTCTCTGAGGGAAAGGAGCCAGATACTATGAAGAGCTAGCCCCAATCAGAGTCCACCTCTCCCCTTCTCTCTACAGAGATAGACTTAGCTCTGCTGTGAGCCCCATTTCCTACCGCATCCTCCACATCTCACCCAGTTTGTTCTCCAACCTCGTTGATTGGGTCATATATCCCCAGAGTTCCCATTCTTCTGCTTCATGGTATTTGCCATATTGTAATTCTGTATTTGTTTGAGTAGTTATTTGAGGAATGCTTTCCAACTCAACTGTTAACAAAAAGGGCAGGAAATGTGTTTGTTTTGCTCACACTGCACTCACGAGTAGGAGTTTAATAAATATGTGTGGAATGAATGAAAGAATAAATGCGTGAATAAATGCCACCCGTATTGCAGGGGCTGTATAGGGGAACTCAGACAAGAAGTCAAGGTCTCAGTTCACGGGCCCAAAATGCAAGAAAAACACAAAGCGAGTCAATCACCTCCGCCATCCCCCCAGAGAAAAAACACCACTGAAAGCTTTCCTCTAGATGGGGATCTCATGTTTCAAACTCAGGTTGGCCTGAGGCTGTGGAGAAACTTCCAGACTGGATAAGACAGTAGTGGCTCTGTCCTCTCTGAGGGCAAAAGCAGCAAAATGTTGCCAACAGGAGAGGCCAGGCCATGAGAGAAAATGCAGCCACGTTAAAAGATAAAAATGAAAAAGAACCTAACACATGAGGATCTTGGTAAAGGCACAGGTTCATTTAGTTTTTAGATTAGATCTACACTAATGATGACCAAGGGTGGATTTCTTGTTTGATTTTCATCAGTCAGCTTTATAATGTTTTGTAGCAACAAAATGCACCCACCACCCAGGCCAGCATCTGAACAAGAACCTTTTGGCTCTCAGTGGAATGGCAGGAGGAGATGCGGCCACTTTAGTGCACGCCACCCTCAGGCTGATTGCCCAACTTCAACTCTGCTCTCCTGAAAGAAAATGGGAACTGTCACGGATTGAATTGTGTTTCCCAAAAATATGTGTCAACATGGCTAGGCCATGATTCCCAGTATTGTGTGGTTGTCCTCCATTTTGTGATCTGATATAATTATCCTACGTGTTGTAAATCCTAACCTCTGTGATGTTAATGAGGCAGGATACAATCTACAGGAATAGGTTGTATCTTGAGTCAGTCTCTTTTGAGATATAAAAGAGAGAAGCAAGCAGAGAGGAGAGGGACCTCATTACCACCAAGCAAGAAGGGCCAGGAGTGTAGTGCATATTTTGGACCCGGGGTCCCTGGACTGAGCAGCTCCTGAACCAGGGGAAGATTGATGACAAGGACCTTCCCCCAGAGCCAACAGAGAGAGAAAAACTTCCTTCCCCCGGAGCTGGCGCCCTGAATTCAGACTTCTAGCCTCCTAAACTATGAGAATAACTTTCTGCTATTAAAGCCATCCACTTGTGGCATTTCTGTTATAGCAGCACTAGATAACTAAGACAAGAACTTACATCTTGAATACAAAAAAATTAATGATGAAAATAATAACACTGCGTAGATTCCACACTTCCAGCTGTTCTTAAAAAAAAAAAAAGAAAAAAAAGATCAACACTTTATATAACACAGAAGATATATTCCAGGCCACTGAAAGCACGATCAATCCCAGAAGCATCCCTTACCTTTTTCATCAATGCAAATCCCAAATATACGAAGGACGTTGGGAGAATCAAATTTCTTCATGGTTCTGATCTCATTATTGAAAGTTTGCCTCACTGTTCTATGAGGGTGAGAGAGGAAACTAGAATGTCAGAACTGGAAGGTCCCTTAGAGAACTTTGAATGTAGTGACCCTCTGTGTATGTGTGGAGGGTGAGGTATTGCCAGCATCTCCTGGGGATAAGTACTGGTGCTGTGCTGATTCCAGCTACTGACAGCAGGGTGTACTCAGAACTACTCAGGCGGCAGAAACGTTAAGATTCACTTAGTTCCTAAGGGTCTGTAAAGATAGCAAATGGGGCTTGCTGATCTGTTTTCACTATTTCCAACAGGCTCACAGAATTGTATTTATAATGGTATTTTTCATGTATATATATATTTATTGTGGTTAAATATGTATGACATAAAATTTGACATTTTAATGATGTTTTTCAATTCAGTGACATTAATCACATTCACAATGTTGTACAACCATCACCATTATCTATTTTCAAAAGTTTTTCATCACAGTTATCTCTGAGGTTCACTGTTCAGCCTGGGAGTGGACAGCCCCGTAAAACCAAATGGGACTAACGAGGTACAGGAGTCCAGTGACAAGGGCCAGAAGGCAGAAGGGGACAAGGAAGCTAGTGATAGGGAAACCAAAGTTGAATAAGGATATTGTTGATGTGTTGTGAGATTGTTAACCATTGTCATAGGGCAACATGTGTAGTAACTGTTAAATGAGAAACTATTTTGTTCCGTAAGACTTCATCTTAAGTGAGAATAGCAACACAATTGGAAGAGCGTAGTCAGTGTCACTGAAATGTGCATGTAGAAATTTTTGAAATGGTGTATCTTTGGCTATGTGTATTTACACCAAAAAAAAAGGTTGAGAAGTTAGAGGGTTGACATGTTGTGGGGTTGTTAACCAGTGTCATAAAACAATATGTGTACTACTGTTTCATGAGAAACTATTTGTTCTGTAAGCCTTCACCTGAGGTATAATAAAAAATAAAAATAAAGATGACACCTTGCATTCTGAAAAATAAAAAAAAAAGTTTTTCATCACCCCAAACAGAAACCCAGTACCTCTTAAGCAATAGCTCCCCATTTCCCCCTTCCCCCAGCCCCTGGTAACCACTAATAAACTTTGGTCTGTATGCATTTCCTATTCTAGATATTTCGTAGAAGTGGGATCATACAATAGTTGTCGTTTTGCATGACTTACGTCACTCAGCATAATGTTTTCAAGGTCCATCCATGTCATATCATGTATCACAACTTCTCTTTATGGCTGAACAATATTCCATTGTACGTATGTACCACATTTTCTTTATTCATCTGTTGATGGACTTGGGTTGTTTACTTTTTTTTTTTTTTTTAACTATTGTGAATAATGCTGCAATGAACACTGGTGTACGAATATTTGTCTGAGTCCCTGCTTTCAAGTCTTTTGGGTATATACCTAGGAGTGGAATGGCTAGGTCCTATTGTAATTCTGGAGCCCTGGCAGTGCAGTAGTTAAGAGCTTGGCTGCTAACCAAAAGGTTGGCAGTTCAAATCCGCCAGCCACTCCTTGGAAACTCTATGGGGCAGTTCTACTCTGTCCCATAGGGTTGCTGTGAGTAGGAATCTACTCGATGGCAATGGGTTTGGTTATGATAATTCTATGTTTAACTTTGAGGAACCACAAACTGTTTTCCACAGTGACTGCACCATTTTATTCCTCCACCAGCAACGATGAGGATTCTAATTTCTCCACATGCTCTCCAACATCTGTTATTTTCTATTTTTTTGATAATAGCTATCCTAGTGGGTGTGAAGAATTGTATTTTTATGGCTGATAAAACTTTACTAGAAAAACTAAAATATCAAGTTTTTGTTTTCGTTTTAGGCTGTAATATTTGGCAGATGCTCCACTAGGCTGTTTTGTGTGTTTTTGATTAACAAGAATAAGGAAACTAAATATTACTTCTTAGGTAAAATTTTATAAACAAAACCTCTTCTAAAATATGGGCCCTCAGAGGTGTGGGCAGGTGAATCATTAACAGGGACCATGGGAACCACCTCCCCAATCCAGCCTGCTCATTCTCTCAGAGCCTGAGGCTCAAAGAGAAAACGGGATTGCCCAAGGACTGTGAGAGAATCAGGGGCAGGTCCAAAGCCCAGCCCAGTCTCCTGACTTCTGCTCCCTGTCTGCTCCTTGACATGCTTCCTAGCACTTGGGGAGATGGTAAGAGGAGTTTCTTAGCAAACATCAGAAGGGGGTAAAAGATCAAGTCCTGCTCCTCTGACCCTTTCCCTCTTCCCCAGAGATCCTGAAGCATACATCTGCCCAGTCAGGGGGGCTGTTCACTTCTTCCCTTGGCTGCTTCTATGTGTCAAAATGGACAACCCAAGCCTTTCACCATGGGAAACAATTTGAGGAAATGGAGGCCAGTTAATTCAGGAGGAAGCCCATAAACTATCTGCTAGTAACTGAGTGCAGTTTAGGAAAGACACACCTAGTGCCTGGCGGTTGACTTCCTCTTCCTCCCCAGCATCAACCCTACAAGGTGGTGGTGATAGCAGAGATGGGCGTGAAACAGTACAAAGGATAGGATATAGGTTCCCACCAAGATGCAACTAGAATGGGCTGCTGGCTGCCTCCTCCCAAATCAACCCTAGAGAAATTACTGAAATAGAGGAAAACAGGATTCAGAAACTAACCATAACACAGCCACATATATTCTTGAACTATTAAATATATATAGAACTCCACACCTAACAACAAAAGAATGCATATTGTTTTTGAGCATATACGGAACATTTATAAAAACAGACCACGTATTAAGTCAGAGAGAAAACCTCAATAAACTCCAAAGTATCAGTATTATTAGGACTATTTTCTAATGTTAATGCAATAAAATTGGTAATTAATAACAAAGGGATAGCCTAAAAATCCTGTATGCTTGGTAACTAAATAAATAACCACTAAATAATCTCTGGATTGAAAATAAAATTGTAAGAGAAACTAAGAAATACTTAGAATTGAATGATAAAAACACTAAATGTCAAAATATATTGCGGATGACTAAGGAAGCACTTAGATGGAAATTTCCAGTTTAAATATATTTGTGAGGAAATAAGAAATGTTAAATATAAACTAAGAATTCAGAAACAAAATGTAGAAAATAATAAAGAAAACAGAATAAATAAAGTAGATAACAACAATTTCAGATATTTGACAAAAATAGCAAAACCAAAAGCTGGCACTATGAAAATATTTATAAGATAGACTGCTGGCAAGACTGATTAAAAGAAAAAGGTATAAGTCATAAACCAATAAAATACAATCTAGAAAAGAAATAACTACATACTCAACAGAGATGAAAAATAAGAAAACAATGGTGAACAATGTGCTAATATATTGAAAACCTAGATAAATTTCTAGAATATTTAAAATGCCAAAACTTCTGCAAGAAGAGAGAGAAAAATTTCTTTCTGCTGTTGATTTCTAATTTAATTCCACTGTGGTTAGAGAACACACTTTGTAAGATTTCAATCCTTTTAAATAGAGGCTTGTTTTATGGCCTAACAGATGGTCCATGGTCTGTCCTAGAGAATGCTCCATGTGCACCTGAGAATAATGTATAGTCTGCTGTTGTTGGCTAGAGTGTGCTATAATGTGTTAGGTCTAGTTGCTTTATAGTGTTAAGTTTTTTAGTTGCTGATCTTCTAGCTAGTTGTTGTATCCATTATTGAAAGCAGGGTCATTGAAGTCCTCAATTATTGTTGAAATGTAATCTCTCTCTTCATTTCTGACAACTTTTGCTTTATGTATTTACAAACATGTTTATAATTGTTATGTTTCCCTGATGAATTGACCCTTATATCATAATAAAATGTCCCATTTATCTCTAGTAGCAGTTTTTGACTTAAAGTTTATTTTATTATTTCAGCTCTCCTGTGGTTGCTGTTTGCATGGTATATCTTTTTCCACTCTTAATTTCAATCTAGTACTATCTGTGAATCTAGTGTATCACTTGTGGATAGTATGTATGTGGATCTTATTTTTTTATCCAGTGTGATGATATCTGCCTTTAGATTGAAATATTTAATATACTCACATTTAATGTAATTATTGATATGGTTGGGTTTACATCTGCCACTTTTCTTTTTGTTTTCCATATTTATCATAAATACTTTATTCCTCTATTCCTCCTTTACCAAAAAACCAAACCAGTTGCTGTTAAGTTGATTCTAACTCATGGTGACCTGATGTGTGTTACAGTAGAACTCTGCTCCATAGGGTTTCCAATGGTTGATCTTTCAGCAGTAGATCATCAGGTCTTTTAACTGAGGTGCCTCTGGGTAGATTTGAATCACCAACTTTTCCGATAGTAGTTGAGCACTTAACCGTTTGTGTCACCCAAGGACTCCATTCCTTCTTTACCACTGTCTTTTAAGCTAATAAACAAGTGTAGCAAGGTTATAGGATACAAGATCAATATAAAAAAATCAGTTACATTTCTATACATTAGAAATGAAAAATCTGAAAATGAAATTAAGAAAAACAATTCCATTTACAATAGTATACAAAGAATAAAATACCTAGAAAATTTGACAAAACAAGCACAAGACTTGTACACTGGTAACTACAAAACATTATTAAAATAAAGAAGACATAAATAAATGGAAAGACATCCCATGTTCATAGATTGGGGATAACAATTCATATCTACTCCAAACCAAAACCAAACCCATTGCCACCGAGTCAATTCCAACTCACGGAAACCCTATACGATAGGGTAGAACTGCCCCATAGATTTCCAAGGCTGTAAATCTCTTTGGAAGTAGACTGCCACATCCTTCTCCCTTGGAGTGGCTGGTGGGTTCAAACCACCAACCTTTTGGTTAGTGGTTCGCTTAACCACTGCACCACCAGGGCTCTGTTCATACCTACTAGAATGACTTTAATCAAAAAGTCAGACAATAATAAGTGTTATCTAGGTATCTACATGAAATGAAAACATACGTCCACACAAAAACCTGTACATGAATATTCATAGTAGCCAAAAAGACGAAACAACCCAAATTT